GGGACAACACCCTAGATTTGCTCACTTCGTAGCATCATTACAAATTTCGCCAATCTGAACGCTAAGTATAACTAATAATAATAATAAATTAATATTTCCAACACTCACACCAATTAGCCTAGCCCCAAAGTAAGCACTGTAAGGCTTGTGTTATGGAATGCTAGGGTAACAAATAGAATACATATACTGTACATATATATAAGTATATTTATATAGAAGACATATTAAACATCCATGACTGGAGTACAAATGCTCGTATTCAGCACACAAACATCTGCCCCCACCGGGATTCGAACCTCGGGACCTCTCGAGTCGGCGACACTATGAAACCCGGCGGACAAACCACTCGGCCACGGAGGTCGTCGACTAAATTTCTACACTATAGTAAAACTAAGTATGCACGTATTTCACACTTCTTTCTCGTTATTATTACAATACAAACCAGTATATTTTATAAGTTCTCCCGTTTCTTTTTGTTATAAGAATATTTTTAAGTAATGTCTACCTAGAATATCGTGTTCCGAGGTAATTACTGCGAAAGCACTGGTTCAACCCTATTCCCCGTATTTTACAATACGGAACAAAAAATGTCTGCCGTCAAATGTAGCCTATGGTTGTTCGATAGTTTAAGGATTCACCCCATGGAAGGGGTCTTTTTTTCAATTATTAGTGATTATAATAAGCGTATGAAATTGCTAGTGTGTTATTGAAGCGATGCAACATTTATGTAATGTACGTACAACTGTTCATTGCTTATAAGGAAAGGATAAACGAAGGAGGCGAATTATGAATTTATTGTGTGGGAGATTATGTTGAAACACAAAGGAGTGAAAGTGGTTATCGGAATGGAAAGAACAAGAAAATATAAATTACTACTCATATATAGTTAAGTAACTCAAATTGGATGAAATTTGGTATGGGATATAGTTTGTAACTTAGATTTAAAAAAATAGGATACTTTCTATCGCTAGTACAATATAAATGCTTCAGCGGTAACTTACCTAGTATAGGTAAATATTTAGAATTTATAAGCATACATACTAGCGACCGCCCGCGGCTTTGGTCCTCGTTACTTTTTTCAGAATCCCACAGGAACCTACCATTTTTCCGGGATAAATGGTAGCCTATGTCTCATTCCAGGTCATAAACTATATATATATATATGTACCAAATTACATCCAAATCCGTTGAGTAGTTTTTTGTGTGATTGAATCACAAACATACAAACTTCCACGTTTATAATATAAGTAGGATTAATAAATAAGTTCAAAAGAATGTCTCAATGTGTCATTGTCAAATATTTACAGTGAGATATAGCGGTCTGATTTCAGGAAGTAACTAGAGTACTACACTAACAATAGAATGATGAATAACTCAAATGAACTCATTCGATTCGAGATTGGGGATCTGAAAGACATTCATTATTGACTCATCATTTCCCATTACTCTCAGTATATCAATATACTCACTGAGTAGACAAATGCACAAAGATTTGATACTATATTCGTGAAACCGAATGACTCAGCAAATTGTTACCTTGTACATGAAACTAGGTAAGTATATTTATTGTGCCTTGAAAATTAAGAATACGGTGTTTTACGGTCGAATGCATTTTCGTTACGGTATGAAGCATTTACACATGTTTAAGTAAATATAGGTAGTATTTGAAAGACAAGTCAAGAAGTATGCAGTTGTTTAGTACACCTTCTGATTTAAAACGCTGAAATACGAAGGAAGTATCATAATGGAAGTTTTATTTTAGAAACATAATTTTGCCCAGACACAGTAGGTACCTAACCTACCTACCTAGGTTCTGTATAAAATAAAGTGAAAATCTTGGACGACCTAATTGAAATGACACGGGTGTAGCCGGTAATCCAGCATAGTATTTCCGATTCACAATTTTAGCCCGTTTCGTGCTAATTATTTTGGTATTTAAGTAGCTATCTAGAGGTACTTTCACAAAACGACGACCTCCGTGGCCGAGTGGTTTGTACGCCGGGTTTCATGGTCCCGCCGACTCGAGAGGTCCCGGGTTCGAATCCCGGTGGGGACAGATGTTTGTGTGATGAATACGGGCATTAGTACTCCAGTCATGGATGTTTAATATGTATTTCTATATAAATATACTTATATAGGTATGTACAGTATATGTATTCTATCCGTTACCCTATGCATCCCATAACACAAGCCTTACAGTGCTTACTTTGAGGCTAGGCTAATTGGTGTGAGGGTTGGAAATATTTAATATTTTATTTACAAAGATTTTTTTTGTGAAATTCAGTAATCACCTAGGTATTTAACGCTAAGCTATCATATTATAACCTTCTCGTAACCAAAATCTAATATTTTTAAGGACAGTAATTTCTATCTCCGGTTCTGTAATGCCCTTGCCTTAAATTAAAGACAGGTGAGTGACGTGTTTCATTACATTATGCAATGTAGAACGGTACATAATTATTTCGTTTGAATGTAGTCAACAGAAATGCACCAGTGGATGTACCTATACAGGATAAGACTTAGGCCCGTAATATAGAAAGATTCTCAGTGATTGATCTAGTCTTCAGCATAGTTAGAAAGGGATGTCGCTTTATAGCACATAACGACATCCCTTTCTGACTGTACTCAAGTAAAGATCAACACTTAGTTGTCATTTTATAATACGGGCCTTAAACAGACAAAAGTCCAGCCCAATGCCCAAGTGTTCGATTTGGCGTCTGTTTAACGTAGGCCTGCATACCTACGTACTCAGCGCTGTTTGTGCAAAATAAATAATGCAGCTGGCGTTGGAAATGTGACGCCCGCCCGGCGGCCGAGGGGACAGAAAAAAAAACCCACGCACTTCATTGTCAGCGAGTATCGTATCGATTCAGTAAATAAAATACTAACGCATTGTAAGTTATTTACGTAGTGATTGCGGGAGTGTCTAATGATATTTTTTTTTTATTCTGTCTGACAATCTCAGTTTCGTTATCCCGCTAAAATTATCAATACCTATTGAATTTATGCTACGCCAGTCATAAATATTTGAATCATGTACCATACCATGTAAGTATAAAGCATACCTTGCCAGATGGCCGGGAAATCCGGGATTGTCCCGGAATTTTGTGTCTTGCCCGCGTCCAGTAATTAGACCTTAATGTCCCGGATTCCGATAATATGCTAGTTTCGTAACAAAATAAACTAAAAACGAATAACACCGCTGGCCTGCTTGATGTTTTAATTCCGGGGGGTGATGGGGGGTATGATTTGATGCTTTATTTTTTCAGGAGGTGCAAATCCCGGAATTGATAAGCCAGCATCTGGCAACCCTAATAAAGTATAAAATTTTCAGTGGCCCCACATAAATTGTCTTGATTATATTGACACTGAATTATAATTATTTATATATGTAAACAAATTGTTCAATTTATTCAGTTTATTTACATTCAGTCCATTTACAAAGTACTCCTAACAAATTCGCCACCCATACATAACACAATGGTAATGTGGAAATAAACAAAGGGAGACATTGAATCCTGTTTATGGACTGTAGGTAGGTATCAGTTTAACTAAATGATACTTGATATCATCCTTATATAGACTTGGTTTACACAAACAACCACAAACCAAGGAAATGTCTTAATAATGGCCAATCTACTTACAAATGAGGCAGGCTATTGTGTTTAAATGCTAAGTAATGCCTTTGGCATAGGAATTTTATTGTTTGCTACTTGTAAATTGCGTATAGGAACACAAAATACTTTTGTTACGTTTGGGTATTGTGTGTAATACCTAATTCACTTTTGTAACACAATCCCATGAAGCCACTTCAGAAAATTAACTCAATTAAGCAAGTAAATTAAAGAATTAAAATATGTTTTGTACCTCAATTTCAATTAATTGCATTCCATTTTGGCATTGATGATAAAATATAAATTGATGATATCACATTTATAGTCAATCAGAAATGTTTTATAATAAATGAAAATTAGTACAAACATGAGTGAGTCTTCTACTCTCTGAGAAGTTAGTACAAAAATACAACAGATAAAATTGTTGTATTAAGTAATATACCTTTAGAAGTAACTAGCTGTGCCCCGAGGTGTTACCTGCGGTTTATTAGGGATATTCTTCCACAGTAAAACATAGCCTGTGTGTTAATCCAGGTCCTCAGCTAACTTCATACCAAATTTTATTAAAATCATTGTAGCCGTTTAGACGTGAAGAAGTAACATAAATACATTCTCATAAACCATCACTTTTATGACAATAGTGAGATATCAAAACTTCATCAATGATTAAATATTATATTGATGAACTTTGCATTCTTTTTAATGAAACCTTTCTACTGGATGACTTCCAATCAGCAGTGGCCTGAGATAAATTAGTTTTTACATAGTTATTTGTCCTGAACAATTGTAAAATTCGGCAGGGAGTCAAAATGGAAAATCATAATGCAGACATTATGCAATGATCAAATATCTTGAAAAAGTACCTACACTTCACAAGAAGCATTACAAATTATCCAGAAAAATACTTCACAAAATGGCAAAACAACCCAGAGAAAACGGGTGACTAAACAGACTAGCAGATCGAACAAGGAAAAAATTTAAATTAAATCTTGACCAATGTTGATACTACTGTATAAAGAATAAAGGAGGACAGTAAACCGGTAATTATATGTAATTTCAGTGCCATAACTGTAAAAGTAATGTTCTATCGGACACAAGTGCGGTCAGACCATTCATGCGGGAATTGAGAAATTCTAACGGTGTTTCTTTTGTCTGTGCACTCATGTCATGGTACAAAATGATCGCGTGGAATAATCCAGAAAACTGAGAATTTAGGAGTTTATATGCAAATATGTAGAGATTACAACACACCCATGCCCGCAAACCAGCAACTCTCGTCCTACGGCATCTGAGCACATTGACCTCTTTGTAATCTTGAAAAATAACGGCTTGCATCTAGTTTTGACACGGGTAAAGAAAAACATTGATAGAGATAAAATTACTCACCCGAAGAATCCAGCTTTAACGATTCGATGTACAGGTTCAGATCACAGAATATCACAATTGAACTCTAACTTATTTGAATTTATTTGAAAAAATTAACGATGAGAATGAAATATTACTCACCACTACTTCCTTTCCTTCTTCTCGAATGAATGTGCAAGGAAGAATGAGACAGATATACATTTTTTTTTAACAGTATTGCCCGTACATATTAATCAATATTTCTAGTTATTTTTATGGAACTTGGTTACAAAATAATATTTGAAGAAGTTTAATATAACCCATCAATACCATAATACTATTTCACATAAATAATAAAATATTTTATTCGAAATCACAACAAAATCTGATGGCTTGAACAAAAGAACAAATTGTTATTCTTCACTGGACTATTTGTATTTATTTAGAAACTTGACAGTAAACGGTCTCTATCATGCTTTATAAGGAATGAAAAAGACAGATTGATCTCAAATTTACAAATTCAGAAAACACGAATAGCCAAGTGCTGGCTTCATAAATAATCCGCAAAGATTTGTTTGTTTGTTGGTAGGTAAACTTGATGCCGGCACTTCAGATAGCTATTCGAGTTTGCTTTTTGTAAACACGACAAATTAAGTCTCTCTCTCACAGACAGAACTGTACGCTTCAACGCAGCGCGAGTAAAACGGCGAGTCCGTACGGCTGAGCTGTATTGTTGTCCTTTTCTTGATAGCAAAATGGGGATTGCGTAAATAACATTCACGACAAACCGTGATGTAGAAAAAAATGTTTTAACAGTTTTACGAATTAAAAGTGATGCCAAGGCATTTGTTATTTGATTGAACTATTTGTGTTCTTTATAAAAGCATCAAAGGAATTGTTTTATCTTTATAACACGAAATTTACGCAATATTGTTATATTGAGTCCACATGCAGCGCATTTGAATGTACCATTGTGACTCTGTGATCACTTTTAAGCCGCGGGCGTAGGTGCCGTATTTTCTTTCTGTTTCTCCTTTTTGATTTAATCTTAGCATAAAGAGTATCAGTATGATACACAACTTACTGTCAAAATAACAAATAGCAAATACGAATAGCCATAAGAAGTGCCGGCAAACGATGTGTATCAGTCGTAGTAGTGGCATTTTTTGCCAATTCTTGCCAGCATAGATGGCTCATTGTTGTGTTGCCTACACAAAATTATACGTAATTTGGAATGGCATTTAAATAATAAAGATAAATTATTGTTATGCACGTGATTCTACTAAAATAGTACATCTATTTAATACTGGTTTGAATTGTTTAATGCTCTCCTTTTTAAGGGAACGCAAAGGAAACAATGCCCATACAGTCTAGACTTCAGTTTTTTTTGTTCTTTTTTGTACATTAGAATATGGTCGACGCATTCTTATGTTTCTTGGAGAGTTTGGCACGAAATATATCGAGTCATCTTTCTCAATAAGCTTCTGTGAGGTAGTCAACACTACAATAAAGTTCTCACGTAATCATGACCGGAATCAAATCAGGAGGACAAGGAAGTGACACTTTTTGGTGCATGCAGGTGGTGTTCATCAATTATAAGACGTTATCACGTCAAAAAATATTAGAACAGAGATAAAACTGCTATTGTTCAGATCATCCGCTTAAAAACAGAAACTCGTTTAATCGCTTGGGTTTCAAACGATTACGTGTTGAGGCTAATGGTAGTTTTCCAATTACAGCACTAGAGCGCATTATGCGGCATAATGCTTAACTTTGAATGTTTCAATTACAGCTACGCTTCACACAATTGAGCACTCTCAAAAGTAATGTTTTCGTGTGATGCGTGCAATCGTACCAACTCAGTGACAGAAAATTAACACCTGTTTTTTCTTTAAGTTGGCATTGATCGAAATGTTTTATTTATTTAATATCGTTAATAATATTATTTATTGTTGAAAAATTTTTAAAGCTTTCGTTTCATTGTAGTTTTTTTTTAAATAATCAAAGTTAATTCAAACTGCGTTAAAAAAATAAATATAAGTATGGATGAAGGTACAAACATTGACTTTTTTCAACACTGAACTTAGCGCACTCTGCTGGTGCATTTGAAAACTAATTCACGTTCCAACTAAGTATCATCGTAATTCGGCATTGTGCGCCACTGAGTCGCATTATGCTCTGTAATTGGAAAACTACCATTATAACCCCTAATTTCGAAAACAGCCTTTCGGCTGGCACAGAAGTGGCATCTACAATTTTTTACCTTGACGTTTATGACATTAAATGTATGAAACTCAAGTCAAATTTGACATTTATTGCACCAGGAGTTTGGAACGTAGCCCAGATCAAGACCGAAAGATTTGAATTGGAATTGAATTATTGAATGAACCGATGACGAATGAAATAACGAATAGTGTGTGTGTATGTGTGTTCCGATTGTTGCTTTACGCATTTCATAAAAAAGTATAATTGCAGTTGCATGCAATGCATACAAAATGTGTAAAGACAAAGTACTCGATATCAGCGATTTGTATGAGTACTTGCGAGTGAGTTCGAGATTGTGGTATCGAGTAAAAAAAAGAATCGATACCTACTCGGTATCGAAAATGTTGTTCGATCCCTAAAAGTGTCGAAATCTACCTCTACAGTTGGTTAACTGATGACACGCCAGGAAATTTATACCACACCCAGGTTTGCCAGGTCCCCAGAATTTACAGGAGATCTCTTTTTTTTTCCGAAATGTCTCCTGTTCTTCTGTTTTTGGTTTTTTAGTTGCCTAAATTTATACGAGGGGAAAAAATCTACGGGTGTTGGTCTTGTGTGATCGTCATTTTATTGTGGCTTGTGGCTTCTGTTTACAATTGAATATTGCATAATTAATTGAATACTTACGATATTTTTATTGAACAAAACAAGCGGGCAGCCCTAGTAGTTGCTTTAAAAAAAAATCGTTCATCTTTCACCGATTTGTTTGGTTAGTGAAAGAACTTTAATTTACGGACCTACAATTATTTGATAAAATGGAAATTGGTGTCGAAGAAAACCCTAGCAGCAGCACTGAAAACGCCAACGCTGAGAATAATGTAGTAGTGAGTTGATAACCTAAATTGTTGAATTTATTAATAGATTGCTATCGAATGTCTGTAAACAATTTGATATATTCACTCGACTTCATTAATTTTGCTGTTCAATTTCGTGTTTTAAATGTCTATTTCATGTCTAATTAGGACTCGGAATGTCCTGATCCTGATAAACTTTGGGTACAGGTGTAGTGATAACCTGAAACTAATTTGGCAGATAGCCAAAATTGGAAGTGTTTATGATATTTCTGTTCAAAAGCACGTTTCAATGCTTTCTTCTTATAAGGCTTAGAAGAGAATCTTACTGAATTCCAGAGGATACATCACAACCAGTTATTAAGGTTTATTGTTGATACATTAGAAAGTATATATTAACCCAAGAGTAGGCTAGAATTCTCATTGAAAGAAGTGAAAAAAATATTATTGTATGCCTTCAGTACCAGTGCAAGAAATGGTAAATTATTCCAAATTTCTGGTTTAAGCAAGAAGTTAAGTAATATTAATTTCCCTGAACTTTGGGTTTAAATATAAATATCTAATTCCTTCATTAATTTGTTTTTGTTTATGATGATGATATTGGCAAAATGTGTAAAAAAACTGTTACATCATCTGCATAATACTAAGTTTTTTGTTATTTATATTATTAGTATTAGTACACATCATTCATCTTGTTGTTGGCAAGATAACACTCCTTTTTGGCTCGGATTTAAAATATTATTCCTTGCGTCCCCTAAGTCGAAAATCTCTTTCATCTTTTCTTTGCATCCACCCTGATGGTCAGTAACTGTAGAGACCTTTACCTTTTGTTTATCAATATCAGCTTACGTCCCGTTTTAATAATCAAACTTTAGTAAGATGTAGGCCTACTCAAGCTTTATTGCTAAGTTTTTTTTTATTAATAATATAATAACAAACGTTGCTAACAAACAGACCCAGATTATCTTCTGGAGGTTGATTATTGAAACTGACAGTAAGTAGGTAGCTTTGCCTGTGTTTTAAAGTTAAATTTATGTTTAAGTTACAAAGTTATATTGTGAGTAGCAACTGGGTTTACTAAATTTTGAAGTAGTGAAAATAGAGTATACCTTGCAGTGTGCACTAGCACAAAATAATAAATTGAAGCAAACTCATATTAAACATTTAACAATGTATCAGAGAATAACTATGTGTGATAATATTTTCAACAGTTAATAATATAAACTAGGTACACATTTGTATATTACTGTATGTCTATACCTTTGCCTGAAGGACTTCTTGATATAACAACAAAATTAGAGTGTCTTGTCACTGTCATTTTACCAAAAATCCACTGTATTAAATATAAATAATAACTGTAATATATATAATGTAATATATATAGCCTTCAGTACCAGTCCAAGAAATGAAATGATTCAAATTTCTTTAGAATGATTGGGTTTGAGCAAGAACTTAAGCAATATTAATTTCCCTGAAATTTGGGTTTGAATATTAATATCTAATATATATAAGTATATGCTATTTAAAGTACCATTCAAATAATATATATATTGTGTCTAATAAGCTTATCAGATATATTGATTGGAAACAGTTTTCTTATGCTTCCAATTTCACATTCTAAAAGAGCTTAGGTACTTTAATATGAACCTACGAATCCTTGCACATTGACATAGGTAGTTAAGTCCACTTTGATACCTATTTCTTTTAATTGTTTCATGATTGTAATACTATGCTGTATTAACATTTAAATTTATAATAATGCTAAATTTCCATTTCCTTTATTAATTCATTCACATATACTTGTATGTATCTATATTTCAAATTTTATAAATTTTTGGAAAACATATTGATTATTATTTTATTAATTTTTCTTTCCAGGAGAAAATACAAACACCTCCACCGCAAGAAGTTCCAAAGAAGACCAAAAAAGAAGACCGTCTCAAAAAGGATGACAAATTGGTTGAACAGTTTCTGAAGTCGTTAAACTCTCTCCCTTCGGTTGATGAAAAATTCTCAGCTGTATGTAAAAAGTACTCGCAGACAGCAGATGAAAATAAAAAGCTTCAGTTCTATATAAAACAATCGGATAAACGCTATGCTTTATTATTGAAAGAAAAAGAACAATTGCAACATGAGTTCAACAAAACTATTCTTGTTAAATCTAAACTGGAAAACCTTTGTAGAGAATTACAGAAGCAAAATAAGGCTATTAAGGTAATCATTAAATAATAAAAATAATAATTATATTAATATATATAAATAATATAAGACCACCTATTGGTGGTTTTATGTTGATATTGGTGAGTTAAGTGAGAATAGAACAGTTAGTAAGTGTACTTATCTCCTGGAAGTTGACTACTTTCGATAAAGACCATGAGTCACATTTTGAATTTGTCAATATACAATGTGAATTTACCTGAGAGACTTAAAAATTGTATTAAATGAAAATTGTGAGAATAAGCAGTAAATGTGTAATACAGCCCCTAAGAAAAATATTGATTTATCACGTTTGTCTTATATGGAATTATCCATATAAATTATGAAGAAAATTTACTAGCAAATTCAGACATAGATATGGGTTTATATTTCCAAAACAAAATAATTTGTTCCGTAAATTGTCTGCACCTTAACTCAAAAATTGTCCAATTATGAAACCTTAACAATTTTAGTAGTAAATAATTGATTCAAATAAAACTACTTTAAAGATCTACCTAATTTATAACAATTCCATATGGTCTAAGATCCGAACCTACATCGACCTTCACTGAGCTGATAATGGAATGAAAAATATTTTATCATGAATTTAGTATATTAGAAAATATACTAAAAATGGGTTGCCTAAAAAAGTCCTGGACAGATCATTTTTAATTAATTTAAAAAAACTATATTTTTAATTAAATGCTGCAACATCAAGATAATAAGAAAATGATGTCCTAAATTCAGCATAAAACATATAAAATGTGCAGCCGTTGGGATGTCTAATATTTACCAGGGCAAATCAGTGGGTTGCCAGGTATAAACAGGTATGTCGATACCAGTTACTTTACCCAACGGCTGTACATTCTATACGTTTTATAATTTAAGGCAGGACAACATTTTCTTATTATCTTGATGTTGTAACATATTTTCTTAAATCATTTTTTAAAAAATAATTAAAAATAGTCTGTCCAGGATTTTTTTGGCAACTAGATTTTAATATATTTTGCAATATACTAAAGTCATGATAAAATATGTTTCATTTTATTATCAGCTCGTTGAAGGTCGATGTAGGTTCGGATCTCCTACTAATATTAGGTAATTGTTATAAATCAACATTTTTCTTAGGGGAGGTGTTTTACACATTTACTGCTTATAACTGTTCTCATTATTTTTATTTAATACGATTTTTAAGTCTCTCAGGTAACTCAATATTCATTTGAGTATTTAGTAATATTATTGTAACTTGGCTCGCTACTAATTCATTCCACTGCCAAGTTAATCAAAATTATCATTCAACAGTGATCATGGATCAGAAAATAGATTTTTTAAACATCTAATCTAATAATCCTAGTTTTATAAAATGACAGATTTTTATAAACATTTAATATCCAGGAAGAATCCCTGCTCAAAATCCGTGAGGAAGAAGAACGCCGTAAAGAGACCCAAGCCAAGTTCCAGAACACATTATCGGAGATCACGACATTACTGCAACAGAACAATGAGAAGAATGCGAAGCTCAGAGATGACAACATAAGTATGACGGAGAAGTTCAAGAGTGTCGTTCAGCAGTACCAGCTTAGAGAACAACAGGTGACATATTTAATAATTCACACCACACGCTGCGTTTAGTTTACTTTGGCTGGTAAATGAAGTTCAAACCAGCCTAAGTGCTGAGAATATAATCAATCGATCAACACTCGTAATGATAATAATGAGTTATTTGACGACCTCCATGGTCGAGTGGTTTGTACGCCGGGTTTCATGGTGTTGCCGACTCGAGAGGTCCCGGGTTCGAGTCCCGGTGGGGGCAGATGTTTGTGTGATGAATACGAGCATTTGAACTCCAGTCATGGTTTAATATGTATTTTCTATAAAAATATACTTATATATGTACAGTTTATGTATTCTATCCGTTACCCTAGCATCCCATAACACAAGCCTTATAGTGCTTACTTTGGGGCTAGGCTAATTGGTGTGAGTGTTGGAAATATTTATTTATTTATTTATTTCATAATTACAATTCCAAATTTGCCAGAAAATAGATTTCTGTCGATTTTCTAAAAAAAAACAGTTCTCCCTGTAATAGAAAAAAATAAAAGCAATGATGACAATTGTAATACACACATCAAAAGTGTCTAGGGATCAACATATATTTTTGCAATAACTTTTCTCCTGATTGATATTAATTAAAATTTTCTTTAAGGATTCATCAAATAAAGTGTTTTCGTTTGTCACAGTAACGATAAACCAAGTCACCTTTGCATTAATAAAGAAATTTGCCATTTTCCTAATAAAGGGATTTTTGGCATTTGAACCACTAACACAAAAGTTCGAAAAAAAGACTGAAATAACAGTTTTCTCTAAAATTTTATTGGGTAACTTAAACAATTAATAATCCGTATTTCTACCGCGAACACTAACAACACAAGAACATCGGTTTGGCATACTCAAAATGAGTTCATCCAAATCACGCTGTGGAATGGCCGCCCATGTTCGTTGCAACAACAAAAAAAGGTCTTCTTGCGACTGGATACCCTCCATATTCGGCAGAGCTCTTCTCTGTAGCATATCCCATGCATGCTCAATCGGGTTCAAGTCTGGCGACTGAGCAGGCCAGGGCAGGACATTGATGTTAGCTGCGGCGAGAGTCTGTCTTACAACTCTTGCGGTGTGCGGTCGTGCATTATCATGCATTAACTGAAATAAGGGACCGATTTGCACTTGTAGAGGAACGATGACGTCTGATACAATCGTCTCAGCATAAATTTGAGCGTTGAGGTTGCCTCTGATCCAAATCAACTCAGTTCTTCCGCCGATCCAAATACCCGCCCATACCATGATGGTTCCACCACTATAAGGATGGACTTCCTGGCAGGATTTTAATCGCTGTTGGCGTCCAGGGGTTCTCCAGTGTCGTATACGTCTTGTATCCGGTCTCATACCAAAACGAGACTCATCAGAAAAGCATACGAAACGCCATTGTTCTTCTGCCCAATTTCTGTGTTCAAGAGCCCATTGATATCGAATCCTACGATTGTGCATTGCTATAGGTGGTACCCGTAGCGGTCTTCGGGAATGAAGGTTCACTTCATGCAAGCGGTTTCTGACTGTTTGGTCGCTAATTAAGTTCCCTGAAGAGTGATGAAGCCTCACGGCTAACATCATGGCGGTTATTGTTGGAGCTCTTCGAGTTAAGATTTGAATGTATCGGTCTTGTCTCCGTGTGGTGCAGCGATACCGTCCTCCATGGCGCTCAGCCACGGTACCAGTGCTTCGGTATCGTGTCCAAAGTCGACTGATAACACTCTGACTTGTATTCAGAGCTAAAGCCACAGTACGTTGCCGGGAACCAGCTTCTATCATTCCCACGGCTCTGAGCATTTCTTCCCTGCTTAAATGACGTCGCCGCTCCATAATAACGTTGGTTTTAATCAGTAGTAGGGAAACAGTAGCACTAATAATGTCTTCAATGCGTTGTATGTTTTTATAGGGAAAATATTGACAGCTGATTTTCATCTTTTACTCGAATTTGATTCACAGTTCCTGATTCAAATTATGAAATGCACCAAAAAGGATCCATATAAATTTATAAAATCATAAATTTATTACAAAGCCACATCTCAATCTCAAGAAATCCGCATAAAAATGCTTGATCCCTAGACACTTTTGATGTGTGTAGTTAATAATAAATTTTTGAAATGGACAGGCCGAAATCAATTAAAAAAGAATATTCGGGCGCCTGGACTGTACCATATTATTAGCCGGGAAAGCAATGGACCATTAATCGCAAGGGGAGCTTAATGCGAATCCATATTCATTTTGGGTTGTCAATTTATTTAAATTTACTACAGAATTACTGGTCCAAAAGGGTTACTGCTAAATTTTGAAACTACTTTATATAGGGTGAAATTGAATGTTTCTATGAAACTTCGTGAGATTGTTGGGTTATATGTATAGAGTATGCCTGTCTTTTTTCGGATTTTTTTGAAGTATATTTTCTTCATGTATTACGTAAAAATTTTGGTCGTGAAGCAGTGTTGCCAGGTCCGATTTTTAAAAATCGGGAGGCGTTATAGAAAAAAACAGTAGATGTATGGAAAGAGCTACAAGAAAAACAGTAGATGCAGAGGCGTACTTCTTCCGATTTGCACCCCCCCGCCCCCAGTAACGACTGTGTTTCTGTGGCTTCTGCCGCCCCATAAGGCTAGTGTTTTTTTAAACAATAGCATTTATTTTAAAATTAATAAGGTTACCTACATTAGTAATGGCCGAAAATGCAACTCAACATGCAATTTAAAAAAGAAAATCGTATTTTAAAAACGAAAAACAGGAGATTCATGTACAAAAACAGTAGAACAGGAGAAAATTCAGAAAAACAGGAGATCTCCTGTAAAATCTGGAGACCTGGCAACACTGTCGTGAAGTGAAGTGACAGAAGTGACATTAGTTTTTTCTTAAGTTTGTTTTCTCTTGCCGGGAAGGCAAAGAGAACAACGTCCATACAGCCTACTGCTTGATAAATGCAGAAACATAATAATTCAAAAGTGCACAGATTAAAGAAAATGGAGGCAAGATAAAAACGACCAGAGAGACAACCAAAAAAATCTTCTATCTCGCTCTTCGAGGAAGGAGATTCATGTATAATTTCAATGGTAACCATGAAATCTCATTATAATTATGTAAATCAAACAAATATTCTTTATTTCTAGGTTGATAAAATGGCAAAACAGATGTCGCTGGAATCTCAATTATCAGACGCTAAGTTACAAAAGGCCAGTTTAGAGCATCAAGCAGAAAAAGAACGCCTTTTGGCCGAAATGGAGCAGCTTAAAGTCAGTATAGCGCAGTACTGGACCAAGATATTGGAACTGCAAGGAACGGAGACAGCGCTGAGAGGACAATTGGCAGTCTACACTGACAAATATGATGAGTTCCAGAACGCTTTAGTGAAGAGTAACCAAGTGTTCGGTGGATTCAAAGAACAGATGGAAATGGTAAGTGAAGATATTAATTTTGGTTTAGCTAGAATGTAGTTTTATATTGTAGAAGTTATTGTATTGGCGTCTTTGGATTTTTAAGCTATTGTATAGATTTTATTGCGGGCTTTGAGCGCGGCGACCGAATTTGGAAATTCCGTAACGAAAATAACCTGACAACAGTCAATATGAACACAATTTTCGCCTCTCTAGTATCGATCGAAACGGTGCAGTGTGTTAAGTTTTTGCCACGGGACCAATGTTCGACGCATCACCGCGGTCGTCGGTTCAAATCCTGCACTCGTATTTTTTATTATATTTTTTTTTCTTTTTTTTTATATTTGTTTTAGACCCCAGTACCTGTTATTATTTTTATTTGTCTCCCTTTTATTAAGACTTTATAAAGATAATTAAAAATTTTGGACTAAAGATGGTAAACTGTGGAGCTTGTGGAAGTTTTTTGGCGCCGGGTAATGCTGTTGTTTGCTGCGCTTGCCCAATAAAATATCATAAGGCCTGCCTCGCCATCTATTAATATCAAAGAAAACACTTGAATCAATATCAAAGAAAAAAAATACTGCATAAATAAAATAAATAAATAATTATAATTGCATAAGGGCTCTTTCAATTTATGCGTTTCTTGACGGCTTGCTGCGGTGCCGAAGCAGTGCGTTTGTCGTACAGCGTACGGACGATCCTTTTTTTTCATACAAAAAGCGCGGTGCGGCAACAGTGCGGTGCGGGTACCGCGAACGCTCGAAACAGGAGTGTTGCCGCAGGTCGTCAAGAAACGCATAAATTGAAAGAGCCCTAAGTGGATAAATAATGCTATGCAATAGCTTTACCGCGGCAGTGCCACACGTATTTTTTTAAAATGAATCCTGTAAAATAATTTGAGTCATCAATCAACCATAAGACTATATTATTTAAGTAAACATAAAAGAGGTATTTCGTTAAGTATTTTTTTGTTTTAGGTTTTTTATTTTCTGAAATATTATCAACTGAACAATCTAGAAGATTTTTTAAACTAATCAACCGATTTTTTCCTTCCTCAGATGTCAAAGAAGATAAAGAAGTTGGAGAAGGAGTCGTTATCATGGAAGAAACGATGGGAGACATCTCAGACAGCTTTACTGGACATGTGCGGTGAAAGGCAAGCCAGCGAAGAAAAGGCAGCTAATTCTAACCGACAGCTTCTACATATGCAGAGCTTGTGCCGTACGCTACAGGTAATTTTTGAAAGTGATACTTTTATTATGATGGCACAAATCTTTTCGATCAATCAAAATCAAATAGCATGAAAAGTATTACATTTTTTAATTACCATATTAAATTCCAAGCGCCCCTAAACGTCATCCAACATATATCGTTTAATCTGTTAACCGACCGTGACGTCACACTGACGTGTCCAATCAGAACGCGGATTACCCTCCCCTCACGCCTCAACTTTGACGATTTCGATTTCTAACAAACACTGAGTAATGCGAACTCTAGTGGGGGTGCTTTGTGGGTTCAAACTTTAGGACGGCTGTGAAGTTAGCAGCAAGTACAACTATATGCAGATTTTAGTTCAGTGACTGCATCGCCCTAAATTTCGTTTACGGAGACGCGAATTGTTGTGAAAAGAATAGAATTGGAAGATCATGGTCCCATTACATTTGGTCGTTAGCCCGAATACGAATACCAATGGTATTCGGGTAAAAGACTAAGAGTAAATAGAACGGAGTCAAGTACGCCCGTATTCTGATAGATTTACTGTTGTTTGTTCGACACGGTCTTCCAGCCTGTATTCCAGTGTAAATGTTGCTTCGGGTGCCCGAATTCGAGTTACGTCTTTCGTGCACTCGAATACAGGATGAATGACCAAAATGTAATTGCGGCACCAGTTTGAGAGAGACAAAGCGCTACGTAATCTGTAAAATTAATCGTAAACTAAAAGTTCGTTATCTGTATTGGTTTTTTAAAACTAAAGAAAAGTTTTTATAGAAAAAAGAACCACGCGGACCAGGCAGCAGACGGGACTCGAACCAGCACCCTTCACAATCCGGGCGAATGCACTGACCAATTATGCTACCACGGCCCTGATGGCCGCGTCGAAATTTTGCTATCCTTAAGCTGCAAGGCAGCGCCATCTCTTCGCATTGTAGGTAACCCACGATGTCAAATGAATACTTTTTCAAGTATTAAACATTTGAAAGAAGAAATAGCATTTATAGTTATGTTTTTATTTTTTTAGGCATTTAACAGCTAGATGTTTAAATCTAAAGAAAAGTTTTAATAGAAAAAAAAATCTTTTCTTTAGATTTAGACACCTAGCTGTTAAATGCCTAAAAAAATAAAAACATAACTATAAATATATTGGTTGTATTTGTATCTCTCTAAAGGTTTGTTGATTTGTCACTCAGTCTTATGTCTCTGAGTACGACCCTCTTCCTGCGTGCTACACAACGATATTAAATACCCAAAATTAAACATCACGAACAAAAACGTGGCCGAAACCTGTCCAAAAGGTACATTGGACGAATTGGACGATCCACGGAGCTCCGTAAGATGATCGCGTACTTAAAAACATTATTTAAACATTTGAAGTCACCTTTAATGCATACTGTATAAGGTCTTAATTAAAACGCATGCGTCAAAGAGTAATGACAGTTCAAAATGCAAGCTCGTATAAGAGTGATTTAAAACAACTTACAACGAACCTCAAATCCCATTCCCGTCTTAAGTTGCCGCGTCTTGCTCACCTCTAGTATCTCATGCGTTATCGACCTACCCGTGAGGAATCGTGCTTAATCGCGAGACATTATCCCATCTGTTGGAAAGTCCTGTGCCCCAGCAGTGGGGACATCACTAATAATATAATAATATATTTTTATTCAAAAAGTAAGTCACAATAACATTATTAAAAAATCTATACTAATTTTATGAGTGCGATAATCAATTTGCCTGAACTAGGTTTCAATATATTTGTACCTGTATTTCAGTCTTTCCAAGATCAAAATTTTATCCATTATGCTTGTATAAATATAAAATTAACAATAAAGAAAAAATATTTTTTAAATAACAGCATTAAGAAGGTAAAAGTCGTAGATATTCATAGGTTGATGATGATAAGGATTGATCGTCCCGTTTAGGGCGAACGCACCGTTTTGCTGAACACCTTGAAAGAGCACAACATAGAGCGGCCTTCGCATGCATGTATCTATATATATAAAAAAACTCAAAGGAGACTGACTGACATAGTGATCTATCAACGCACAGCCCAAACCAATGGACCGATCGTGGTGAAATTTGGCATGCAGGTAGATGTTATGACGTAGGAATCCGCTAAGAAATGATTTTGATCAATTCTACCCCCAAGGGGATAAAATAGGGAATTAAAGTTTGTATGAAACTTTGTCAATTTTAAACTGATCGGGCTCAGACTTTGCATGCAGGTATAAGAAGAACCATAGATTAATGTCATTGTGTATAATACAAGCCTGAGAACAAAAACTGTAGTCTACACTTCAGCTTTACACCGAAGCGAAGCATGGGCGGGCTGCTAGTAAATAATAAATTAACAATTAAGAAAAAATACAAATCAAATTAATAAGGTAAAAGTCGAAGACATTAATAGGCTGATGATGATAAGCATTGACACCCAGACATGTTTTTCAGTTTTTGATGTCATCTTTCTATTGACGACACTGTATGAAACAAACAGGGGGAAAAATAGCCCTTGCTGAGTTTCTTGCCGGTTCTTCTTAGTACAAGGTCTCCCGCCGTAGGATTATGAACCGATGGCGTAGCGTTTGACTTTCACAAGAGCTTGTAACAGCCTAGACTGAATAAGTTAGTTTAGATTATTGGTGCGGGTTCGAGTCCCGTCTGCTGCCTGGTCCGCGTGTATTTTTTTTCTAGTAAACTTTAGATTAAAACATCTAGCAGTTAAATGCTTAAAAATAAAAACATAACTATAATTGCTATTTGAGGCCATGATAACCATAATGGCCTAACTCATTTTTTAATCATAGTGGCCTATCTTACTTGGCACCTCAAATTTAGATCACAGACTAAAAACCGTAAAAGTGATTATGCTGTCATCTAGTGAATATTCGTTGTATCACTTTTAGATCACTCTGGTCCTATCAAAATGACCAATTTGAACTGGAAAAAATCATAAACTAAATATTATAAAAAAATGAGTTAGGCCACTATGGTTCTTATGACCTCATTTCTCCTTTCAAATGTTTAATACTTGAAAGGTATTTATTTGACATTGTTGGTTACCTACAATGCGAAGAAGTAGCGCTGCCTTGCAGCCTAAGGCTAGAGAAAGATTCGACACGGCCGTCAGGGCCGCGGTAGCATAATGGTCCGTGCATTCGCCCAGATAGTGAAGGGTGCGGGTTCGACACCCGTCTGCTGCTTGGTTCGCGTGGTTTTTTTTTCTAGTAAACTTCTTTATATTTAAACATCTCACAGTTAAGAGCCCTTTCACATTTTTTGCAAAATATTCTAATTTTTGATCGCCTCGTTTACCCCCTTAGAAAAGATTTTGGCTATATCCAATAGAAGTAAACAGTGGATTTATTCTTCCTATTGTAAATTAATGTAGAATATTTGAAAATACTATTTTCCTTTTTTTGTACTGATCGTTCTACCGCAGCTAGTTTACGGAAAAAACGATAATATGCACAACTTCAAACGCGTCATTCTCTCAATAATGTTCAATAAATTAGATCAAATTAATTACTACGACATCAGAAATATGTTTTTGTTGTAACATAATCTATTAGAATTTAAATTTTGCACCTCATTAATTATGAAACAAAACATCTAACCTTCGTGAGTTTTCCCAAAAAACAATGCAGGTTTACATCGTATTTCGATATTGAATTAAATAGAATCACTATCAAAAACTTGCATAAAACTAATCTACCATTATTGAACTACTGAAATATGTATATATTTTTATAATAAGTTCATAAATAATGATTTTATAAGACTCGAAATATCACCCGTAAAATGCAATATATACTAGTGCAAGTCTACCTACGCTCCGATCAGTACGGCAGCGGCGCAATTTTGTAAAAGGGCTCTTAAATGCTTAAAATATAAAAACATAACTGAATAATGAATGAATAATATTATTTGTTTCTTAGGTTTTCACGCACATCACTCATTAAATAAAACTAGTTTTTTCACAGGTTAATGCCTGAAACTTTATTTATGACAACTTAGATTTGATAAACCACCGATGCTTGCAACTGAGCAATGATTCATTCCTAGAATGATACGCGAGGCTATTGAGATTAAAAAATATCCAAATTTCAATAGGGAAGATGGTTGGTATACCACCAGCTTGGGAACCCATTATACAGGAGATAAAATCCCAACCCCGAGCACACACTGCAAGACCAACAGATACAATTAGTACTTTTTGTTTGCATAATTTAACATAAGAAGGAGATAGAAAGCCTCTCTTGAGTTTGTTTCGCCGGTTCTTCTCAGAAAGGTATCCCAATTTTGGAACCGGTGGTAGTTAACGGCATACGGTAGTTAGGGTCAATAAATAAACTCAAAACTCAAAATTACAAAAAAGTAATTTTAAATAAAGTACTTTATTAACTAACTTAAGTAATAAATTCATACATAGACAATAAAACTTTAAAAATCGAACAATGAAATAACCGAACGCCCAATAAAAGTCTTTCGAAGGTAGCTCGACAAAATTAAATAAAAAAATCATTCCGACGAAGCAGACTATAAAGGCTGCGAAACGTCATAAATAAAGTTTCGTGCATTAACCCGTGAAAAAACTGTTTTTTTTAATAATATTACTTTGAGTTTGACTTTGATCGTCTCGTATAGGGTGAACGCACAGTTTTGCTGAACACCTTGAAGGAGCACAACATAGAGCGGCCGCCGCTGCCCCCGCCAGTCGCCGCGCCGCCGCCACCAGCGCCCGCGCCTTCTTCCAACGCCGCCTCCAACGCTAAGGTAAATTTCAGGGTGCTCTTCCACCAGAGATGTGCTATACAGCTATGCTGCTAGGATGTATCAGCTAAGCTACGAAACTACGTGACCGTTTCTACTGATGCTAAGTTATGTAGGTTAGAGCACGCATCCATAGCACGCATCCACAGCACGCATCCAGAGCACGCATCCAGAGTACGCATCCATAGCACGCATCCAGAGTACGCATCCATAGCACGCATCCAGCGAAAGCATCCATAGCACGCATCCATAGCACGCATCCACAGCACGCATCCAGAGCACGCATCCAGAGCACGCATCCAGAGTACGCATCCATAGCACGCATCCAGAGTACGCATCCATAGCACGCATCCAGCGAAAGCATCCATAGCACGCATCCATAGCACGCATCCACAGCACGCATCCAGAGCACGCATCCAGAGCACGCATCCAGACTACGCATCCATAGCACGCATCCAGAGTACGCATCCATAGCACGCATCCAGCGAAAGCATCCATAGCACGCATCCAGAGCACGCATTCATAGCACACATCAATAGCACGCATCCATAGCCCCCATCCATAGCACGCATTCAGAGCACGCATCCAGAGTACGCATCCATAGCACGCATCCAGCGAAAGCATCCATAGCACGCATCCATAGCACGCATCCACAGCACGCATCCAGAGCACGCATTCATAGCACACATCAATAGCACGCATCCATAGCCCCCATCCATAGCACGCATCCAGAGCACGCATCCAGAGTACGCATCCATAGCACGCATCCAGCGAAAGCATCCATAGCACGCATCCATAGCACGCATCCACAGCACGCATCCAGAGCACGCATTCATAGCACACATCAATAGCACGCATCCATAGCCCCCATCCATAGCACGCATCCAGAGCACGCATCCAGAGTACGCATCCATAGCACGCATCCAGCGAAAGCATCCATAGCACGCATCCATAGCACGCATCCACAGCACGCATCCAGAGCACGCATTCATAGCACACATCAATAGCACGCATCCATAGCCCCCATCCATAGCACGCATCCAGAGCACGCATCCAGTGCACGCATCCATAGCACGCATCCTTCCATATAAAAAACATAGCTTAGTTGTACCCGTTTCCACCAGTACTATGCTATGTGGACCAAATTTGATTGGTGGAAATCATACACATCCACAGCAACGAAGCATAGCACATCTCTGGTGGAGTTTCAAAATCTTATTTGAATTTGTTTCTAACGTTTTCACGCACATCACTCATTAAATAAAACAAGTTTCCGTAAATACCGTTGAAACTTGTTTTATTTAAGCTTATTTATGTATAAAGTGTAAGAAAAATAACTCACACAGATTTCAATTAAAAAAGTATCTTATTTGTTTAGTACATATTGACATCAATTTAATAATTTCAAATTACGATGAATTGACCATTTCGTTATCTGTAATAAACAATTTAAATTTTAAACTGAATAAATAAAAATTACTGAAAATGATTCATTTCCATATTCATAACAAACCACTTTCAAGTTGTGTGTTATTGCCAATACAGTTGAATAGTTAAACGTATTTAAGATCGTTTGTAAATTACGTCACACTAACTTAATTTTTTTGTCACACCCTGGAAAAAATGTAACAGATCCTTACTAAATCAACCATAAGCGATTGATTTGAAAACCATTTATTTGATTACATAGAAATGGCAAGTGTTAACTTTCAAAAAATCGCTAAGAGATTGCGCTTATACAACGACCATCCGATATGACCTTGAAATGAGGTTCCAGCTAATTACAAATTGTGACGCATGATTACTTCCCTAAATATAATTATGCGTTCTACCATTAAACCCTTACTTTATTACTAAATAATAATTACACGCCGCTCGCTGTTTATATTTACCTTGAATAATTTTAAATATCATTTATATAAATTGAAATTTTATAAAATTTTGGTCGACCGACCGGCGTTACAAAGTTCACGCTTTTCAATAGTGATTTTGAAATTAAATTTTGTTTTCCTTCTTTAGACTTCGATTGATTTTTTCAAGTATCGTTTTAAAGATTATAAACGATTACCCGGTTTTCTCATTTTATTAAAGTCATTTAATTTTGTTTACTGTAAATTAGCTTTAATAGATATCTTGTAAGGGATAATCCTGATGTCGATGATACTTTTTTAGTATTCAGAGTTTTTTTTTTAATTTATGTACTACATATTTACTTACATGAATAAAAGCAATGGATAAATTTAAAAATAGTTTAAATAATCTTTTTTTAAATTAATTTTATTACTCAAAAAAATAAATGCCACGATTATTGGATTATTTTGTTGATGCCGCAGATAAAAGATAAAATTAATAATTACAACAACTATAATTATTATGTAGCAATGAAAGCGAAACTACTCAACTAAATAAAAATAAAGTAATATATATATAGACTTTCAGGACGGACGATATAGTAATACGATTAATAATTGATAAATTTAAAAATAGTTTATTTAAACTATTGCCACAATGGTTGAGACATAATATGATGGAGTATCATTTAAATATAACTCCACTGATTTGTTTGAGTTGTTAATATTTGATTGTCTATCATTTAAAATAGTACTATTTCAGCGAAACCTAACTTGTATATATTAAGTTTCGCTAAAATAGTACTATTTAATCGTCTTACTTATTTTTTTTTCCATTTTAATCGTATTACTATATTATCCGTCCTAAAAGTCTTCTTTTTTTTTTTTGTGATGAGTAGTTTCAATAACAAAATAATCCAATGATCGTGGCATTTAATTTTTGAGTAATCTATAAACCGATTGCAGTGTCAACGCACCGTAGCATCAAAATAAAATTAACCTTCATTTATAGGTTGACGCGATGGCAGCGAATTGCGTACAGTTGCGACAGAGCTTAGCACATCTACAGACCCAATTGAATACACTTACAAACAAAAACAAGGAGGAACCACCGAAACCAGAGAAACAGAAAAAGTCGAAGTCGAAAAAGAACAGAGGCGAGAAACAAGCTCAGAAAGTAGAAGAAAAATCGGAGGTCAAAGAGGAGAGTGACGAATGCAGTCCTGTAAAAGAAACAATAGAAAATGAACCTAGCGTCGAAGATGTTACAGTTTCAAATGATGAAACTAAGGAGGAAAAAGTAGATGACAAAACATTAGAAAGCCTTATTCAAGCTATAAGCAGCGCTAATATAAATCTGTGCGATCTGGAGGTGGTTAACGTCGCAAACGGTGATGAGAATGACAATGTAGATAAAGTATTAGAAATAAATGAAGCTGTACCAAATGTTAAAGAAATATCGGCGGTTATTGAAACGATAAAAAATGAAGTAGCTGAAAAATCAAATGAAGTCAATGCCAACGTCGAAGTCGATTTGAATGTAACTCAAGAAATTAATTGCAACGATGAAATCTCACATATCCCCGAAGTGAAACCAATCTCGGAGAATGGTGCATGAGACGTGTTCAAATGTCAATTATCATTGTAAATATTGAAATATTTGACTTTAGTTTTTTTACAGTAATTTAGTGAGAAGTTTTACACCGTTTGTTTTTTTTCTAGTATTTTGTTGGTCTCAAGTTTTTGTGTTTGTGTGTGTGTTTTTTTATGTAAGTAATTCATCTTTCAACGAGAATGTTTAAAATCGAAGTGCCTAAACAATTTGTTTTCTAGTCAGATTTCGGTATTGTTTTTGTATTCGCCAAGCTTTCATTTACATTTAACGTTATACAAGTGGCAGTTTAAACGTTTTACCATGCCTACTTTTTTTTATTAAGTTTTAATTTTTCAATTCAAATAACCACTTTAACATATATTCTGGATGTCTCAATTTGTGTGCTGGGCGCTATCGAATTTTCTGAATTTTGTTTAATTCCCTTTTAACGCCGACACAAAACTTCTTAACGTTTTTGTGTACAAAAATTACAGTTTCTCGTAGCGGCGGCGTCTAATACTGAATGATTTGATAGCCACAAATCACACAGTATTAGCTGCCACAATATTCTCTATAAAATTTGAATAGCTCCAGCCATGTTATCAAGAAAGAGATTCTGACCAACGTGTCAATGACACGATCTTTATGGTAAAAAATAGACAATGGTGTCGATTCTGGCATGATTTGCTAAACTTAAACTAACTGGAACATCTCCTTTTCATTCTGTGTAGAAAATGACAAGGATACACTGTTGTCAAATATAATTTTAGTTTTACAGAATCGCGCCAGAATCGACACCAGTACCTATAAAACTTCGGTATATTAGTTATTATGCACCCTAATTTTTTGTACTTATGTTTTGTTATGTTACTATGTGTATTAATGAACTTTCTGCTTTCAGAATAGTTTTAATTATTACAAATATGTCATTAATATGGTGCCAATGGATAGTAAAAGAATTACGTACAAATGTTTTTTTTTTCAAATTGCAGTGCAATATGAAACGGAATATTATTAAAGTCTAGATCATGTTGGTGGATATAAGTCGATTAATTTTGGACTTTTTCTAATAAGAACTGTATTCATAAACGCGGATGTATCCATCTTCTTGGTCATAACTGTGTAATTGTGAATCTGTAATACCAATGTCGTTTTTTAATGACTCTTGGCATTTTATGAAAACTTCAGTGTCATCAATACTTTGTTATTAATTAATTTAGCATGACGAGCGTTTTTCGCGCAAAAACATCCTTCTTTGCGTTGAAACTATACATAGATCTATTGAATAGTACAATACATACAAACAAGGATTTTAATATTCAAAATTTGTCAAATATCTCGCAATTTATTTTTATAAAGTGATAAAAATGGACATAAAATAAAAAAATATGGAATTTTGCTTATGTTTACTGCTAACAAATCTCAATACCTTATCGTTTAAGTTTTGCCTTTTATATAGAATAAATGTGACTTCTGAGTTTTTTTAAATAAAGTTAGATTTTTATAACCCTGTGAGATGTTGTGATTTCTTTTATCCTTATAATATTTAACCATGAGAACTTCGACTTTAGCGCGTACTGAAAATGTAGGTATTATCTGGAGCTCCTCTTTGTTTGCGAAGGCACGTTAATCCCAGCTGATTCTACAGTGGTTGCACTGGGAAGTCGTGCTTGTGCACCATGCATGTTGGCTGAAAATTTTATTTTCGGGTTAAAAATAAATTTCAGAATGAATGTTTGTTATACTGGCCCCTTGGAAAAATCCGTAGCCACGCCTTAGAGATCCCAAACCTCGCACTTCGGTGCGATGTTAACCTCCTGCTACGAAGGTCGCCAGTGCTGTTAAAGTGTGTAATTTGCTCGAGATCCATGAACATTCGAATTAACGCCATCGATCAATGCGCGTGCGCCCGAGTGATCCACGGCGACCTCTAGTGGATGCTTCAAATTCAAAATGTTTCGTCATCGAACCGTCTTAAGGTTGTTGAAGTCGGAGACGCAATTTAAATTAAATTTTCTTCAAATTGAAATGGCTTGTTTTATTAATATCGCATAGAAAGTAGCATCGACTTTTTAACGGGAAAAAAGTGCCAAACTAGTAGTATTATGGCTTGCCTGTAAACGATGTAGAATTTTCTCCCTCGCCAGAAGCGACTCCGGACCGCGAGAGGCATAGAATGTGAAATTTTGGAAAACTCCAAAGCAAATTCCGTCCGCAGAGCGCGCGGGTAATTGCGCACTCGTTGCTTGGTGGTGGTTAGTGGGCTGCGGCTAGGGTTGCCAGGCCAAAAATAACTAAAACTATTAATAAACAAACAATCACCAGAGCGATCATTTGAATAACGTTATTTTGGAGAAGTAGCTTTCGGTCGTCCGCATAACTAATATATTGTATCCTCTATCATTTAGACTCCTTACGAGACTGTCTACTACTATGTTCCAGAGAAGTGGGGATAGGACTCCCCCCTTGAGGATATCCTCTAACTACCTTTGCACGCGTGGGCGGGTCAGATAGTGTTCCCCACCGCCCTTTTGCCGACCAGCTCGGTAATCCAACCTATGGTGAATTGAACCACACCCAATGATGCAGTGAGAGAGGTTATTGATACGTAAAACATTTTTGAAACTGTTCAACAAATTTATATTTTTTTGGCAAAATCAAAAGATGCAATTTTTTATCAAGTTTTATATAAAGAAAGTGAGTCTTCAACTACAATAACAGTAAAAACATTAAACCCTACTAGATGGGCAGGACTTTATGATGCCGTTTTTGCTTTAAAAGTTCTGTTTGTTGAAGTCAAAAAAGCGCTAACGAAAACAATTCTGTTAAATTGCAAATCAGATGAAAAAAATTAAGCTGCTTCCCTCAAAAAGTAGATCGTTAACTACAATTACAATTTTGAACTATTTGTGTTCTTTATAAAAGCATCGAAGGCATTGTTTTTTCTTCATAACACAGAATATACGCAATATTGTTATATTGAGTGCACATGCAGCGTGTTTGAATGTCCAATTGTGACTAAAGCGAATTATGGTCATGCACCACAATTTAAGCGGATCACTTCTGAGCCGCGATACCGTATCTTCCCTTTTTGTTTTAATCTAAGTATCAAAAATAAACAAATATGGTAGCTTTTTTTTAACGCTAGTCGTGTTTTTTACTAGAAAAAATGTTAATAATATGCAACGGTGTCGATTCTGATATGATTCTCTAAACCTAAACTTATTTAACAACAGTGTATCCTTGTCATTCTTTACATAGTATGAAACGAAGAGACTGATGTAAAATTCAGTTATAAGTTTAGTTTAGACACCCATTATATTAGTTCCAATCTCGACCGATTTTTATTTTCCTATTTAAAAAAAACTTATTAAGGTAAGGCTTACTTACGAAAATGTAGCAGCTAAATGCTTAAAAAACCTAATAGAATATGCAATGTGGCTGAAAACAATACGAAAATGCCTCCGCAATGGCGCCGCGGCGGCTAGTAATGGCAATAAGTGTAAAAAAATAGGCAGCAGATATGAAACATCGTATTTATTGAAGCGAAACATTTCTATTGTGCCGTAATCTATACTTATAATAAATCTGTAGAGAGGTCAATTCTGTACATGAAATATATTTTCAAAATAACTATCAGGGGATGATTAGTGATCGACACTGATGCCAAAAATGCAATCAGTAAAATTTTTGTCTGTCTGTCTGTCTGTCTGTGTGTATGTTCCTTATAGAAACAAAAACTACTCGACAGATTTTAACGAAACTTGGTACAATTATTCTTCATACTCCTGGGCAGGTTATAGTATACTTTTCATCACGCTACAATCAATAGGAGCAGAGTAGTGAAGAGAAATATTGGAAAAACGGGAGAAGTTACTCCATTTTTTAAGCTTCCGTCGCGTGTGCAGCTTTATTGGTTAAAGTTACATAGAAATCATGTATGACGGAAATATTCTACATAAAATTGTCTAAAAAATATCCCGCAACAACATATGTCTATCTTTTATGGTTGACTCACAATAACACGTGTAATTATATAAATAAAGTCATTGTTTATAGCACAAGCCTGAGAACGAAAACTATAGTTTACACTACAGCTCTACACCGAAGCGAAGCGAGGGCGGGCAACTAGTAACAAATAAAATACTAAATTAAGCCTAAACTTCTGATATCGTTTTGGCGATGTAACCAATGAGGTTTCGAGTGTCAATCCCTGCCGTGAGTAGGTACTAAACTGTATTTCAGTTGGGGCCACGCAATAAGCTATGTTAAATCTACTATCCTGTCTAGCAAAACTTAAATACTGTATTTGAAGTTTTGCGTTCATTAGCTGTACCCTAAGTACGAGATTTACAATTATGAAAACTATGATAGTTTTTTGTTAAATAGCACTTACTTTTTTAAATTGCAGGATATATATATATAATCTATTTTGTGTTGTATTAAATTACAAAAGGTCTGCTAAGCATCCAACTCACTGATATAAAGTGTGGCTGAGGTATAATTGAGAAGTTATTCGTAGATGGTGCAGCAGAGCAGGCAGTGTTACCTACGCGCCAGTCACACTTACCTTTTTTTTTGGTGATGAGAAATCCCTTGACGGACCGTACCGTGCGCTGGCTAGGCGCACGGCGTGCGTGGGACTCTCCCGGCGCGGGACACAGCGCCGGTCCTACCCACTAAAACTCACCGGTACCCTCTTAAACCTATGTAGGGGCGTCTCGGGATCGGCGCACCTCTGTGTGCGCTATTTCACCAGGACGCCCCCGGGAGTCACACTCACCTTAGCGGACACCATTCCCTGTAGCATGAGCACCATAATTTATATTATATGACGTTGTTTATCACGTGTAACTGTCAAACTTTATAGTAATTTGATAATAAAGCAAAATAAAAAACGTTATATATCATATCACTGTGCTCATTCTATGGGGCTGGGCACCTCCACGTCAGGAAAACGCGGCGGTTCAAATGGGATGTATGTATTACTACAGTTGGTAAGTAGGTACTAATTTTTAATAGCTATATTAAGACGTGCAAGTACGCCTAAGTAATATTCTGAAGACTATTCTATTTTTCATTTATATTAAACCTGATAAAAAGAATGATTTAAAATGAAGAAAGATAATAAATATAATGCATAACATAAAAATTAAATTTAAATAAATATTTCGTTACTTAGATAATACTGTACCTAATTATAATTTACTGAATATAAATTTTAATTGACATATTTATGTATATATATTTTAAATTATAAGTATACAACAGACAACTGAATACATTTAAAAAGCAAAAACTTAATAACTACTTAGAATCCAGATTACCTTAACCTAGTTAGTTACCTACTTAAATAAATAATTTACAAAATAAAAAATATGTCACCCCCAGCGCCGCCGTAAGGATTCGTGCCCAATAGTATGGCAGCATTGCCGCGTTGGATGGCAAGGCTGATCCGTTGACTTAGATTATTATGATATTTTATATATATTTTGATATACGTAATTGGTAATATAAATAAATTGGTATCGGAATTTCTGTTTTCGTGGCCACATTTAATTACGTTAACTGCATCAGTTACCTAACTATCAGTTACAGGCTCCTAGTTGAAGAAATTCGTCTAGATCATAGTTTTTTTTTTGACACTTTGAATCAATTCCAATTGAATGTAGTCAATCAATTTCAAGGAAAATATTTATTCAACGGTGAAGACACAATAAATGCGTTTATCTATTTATAGTAGGTATAAATTAAAGTGGGTAACTTCCCGCGTCTGTCTATTACAACCGGTAACTCCCCTTAAACCACGAAACGATTTTATTTTCCCCATAAGATAATATCACGGAATGTATATAATATTAATATAAAAATTACAGTCTATAAACCTAAGGCTATGCGAAGGCTGGTTAATTGTTTAAGTATAAATTCAAATTTGGCAATTTTCTCTTCATGTGAGTGTGTAGTCAATTTTCTCTTAGTAACTATATAGTTAGTACATTTTCTAATCAATAGTTCCTTGCTTATGGGGGTTAAGTGTTTCAATCCATAACATGTACATATACCTTTTATTTTCAAATTTGAAAGATATCCACGAATCCACGATCTTCAACCACGCGAACACATCGAAAATAGGCTTTGTTAATACCTAGTACCTACAATACAGGCATCAGATACAGACATGACTCCGTCTGAGGATATCGAGGTCCTGAGAAATTTCAAACTGGGTATTCAATTCAACAACTTCAACTTCAAATGGGCGTAAAAGCAGGACCACAAAATTAAACACGATAAGGATAATTAATAAACTAATCTAATAGGACGTAGAGGGGTTAACTGAATATACATTTTAATTCATTCATAAAGTTCTTCCATGTTACATAACTGTCATTTTTAATAACATTAGGAAAGCAAACAAGCAACTTCCTGATTGTATGCGGTCACCGTAGCTTAAAGACACCTGCAACCAGTGCTACCAGCCCCCCTAGCATGACTAACAAAACGCGATATGATAAAGCGATTTATCGACACTCAACTGTCAAACCTACACCATTATATTATCATATCGCGTTTTGTTAGTCATGCTAGGGGGGCAGGTCCGATTTAAAAAATCTGGAGGCGTTACAGGGCTTTAATAATTGGTAACTCAAATATAGTCCAGCAACAACGTTTTTTTTGTAACAAAAACCTATTTATTGCATTATAATATCTAAAGTAACATTCTTAATGGCAGAACCAGAAAAGCACAGCACAGGTGACTCGAGTGACGTATTTTATGTAACGTTTCACGCAATTTAAAAAAGAAAATCGTATTCTGAGAGCAGTAGATTCATGTAGAGAAACAGAAGACAGGAGACATTTGAGAAAAA